GATTTTTAAATGCAAATGCCAGCATTTTTTTTTCTTTACTATAACTCACAGAATTAGCTGTCACTTTCCCCGGTGCTAAAGGAAACAAACTAAAAGGAAACTTTTTTTTTTTTTATCTCGGGAAACAAACTAAAAGGAAACATTGTTTCTTTTGTCTCGGGAAACAAACTAAAAGGAAACTTTGTTTTTTTATCTCGGGAAACAAACTAAAAGGAAACTTTGTTTTTTTATCTCGTGAAACAAGCTAAAAGGAAACATTGTTTCTTTTATCTCGGGAAACAAACTAAAAGGAAATATTGTTTTTTTATCTCGGGAAACAAACTAAAAGGAAACATTGTTTCTTTTGTCTCGGGAAACAAACTAAAAGGAAACTTTGTTTTTTTATCTTGGGAAACAAACTAAAAGGAAACATTGTTTCTTTTGTCTCGGGAAACAAACTAAAAGGAAACTTTGTTTTTTTATCTCGGGAAACAAACTAAAAGGAAACATTGTTTCTTTTAACTCGGGGAAATAAACTAAAAGGAAACTTTCTTTCTTTTAGCTGGGGGGGGGAAAGTGACAGCTGATTTTCTGAGCAATAGTGAAGGGAACAAAAAAGCCGGTAATTACATTTAAAAACCAGCACAGACCTATAGTGACAGCGACTTTTTAAAAACTTTCTTCTGACCTCCTGAACGGATTAATTGGTTTTCAGTGCATTCCTATGGGGGAAACCGCATTTCAGTTTACAAATTTTTCACAATACGAAACATCCCAGAGAACGCATTAAATTCATAAACCGAGGTACACCTGTATATGAATAGTAAATCCTCCTGCTCCGCTATTTCAGATATATTTTACGAGGCTGCTGCTGACACCCAATCCTCTCCTTTTTAGATGGATGAATGATGAATCAATATATATATGGAGTAGCGCTGCTGAGACTTAAAAACATAATATTCAAAGTGCATACCTTATTGTGAACCAAAATAAAATTACTTATGCAATATAACCTGAATATTAGGTGATTCTATTACTCAGTGATTTCTATAGTGAAATATACATTATAATACAAGTGATTGTAATATAAGTGCAAATATTACAATATTCAGTGCTTTCAATATACACACACAGTGTGTGGTGACAAAAGTCCACAACAAGAAAGCAGTTTGACCAAGTGGAACTCAAACAGCATGTACAACTTGTCAGTGCTGGTGATGGGTGAGAATCCTACAATGGCTGATGTGCCTACTCACCTTCCCCCTGCGACCCACAGGGGCCAAAAAGCCTTTTGGATCACTCCAAGATCCTACTTGTTATCCACAATAGAAGTTACTTCACTGGCTCCAAAAAGGCTCACTCCTCCTCCTACTTATCCTCCACGGACAGACACCAGTGTATATATGTTTATATACTGATAAGGGTATGGACCATGAATAAGAACACAAAAGATCCTCCATAGTGTATTACCGTATATGACATTTATTATAGGCAAAAAACCGCCAAGTGCAAACTCATATTTAGCTGGAAAATACAGAGTATTAGTGACATTATCCATGGGTGTACTGCTAGGTCTCTGGAGTGCCAAGATGGCGCCAGACCGGAAGTACGTCACCACATTGCTATGTCTACGGTGCTAGACTATTTTCTTCTTCTCTAGGGTAGAAGAAACCTTTCCATGCCACAGATCCAGGCCTCTGGTCTTCAACATGCCTGGGAGATAATGAGCTCCAACACTGCCTCCACTCATGGTAACAAAAGGCAAGAACCTTTCACAAGATCACCCCAAATATTTATATCCTTTCCCGGCATGCACCACCGGTAATTAACCTTCTAGTGTTTTTCCAGAGAGACATAAATATTCATAACTATTGTATCTGCTTGATCTATAGTGTTGAGCTGAATGTTCAAGTCGAAAGCAAGTCCGACTCAACCATCGGCCGTTTTTTTTTCGCTGAACACACAAACGGTAAGGTCATTTTGCCCGCCTAGCGCCCCACAATGCACTGTGCTCTCACAGTGCATTTTGAGAGCCATGATTGGCCAAAACAAAGCACCTGACCACAGGAACTGTAAAGCATAGGCTCTTTTTAAACGCTGTCCTTTATTAAAATTCTCCACCACCCTGCCGATCATGTTCTTGCATTCCTAGATCTTCAGTCTGCTGCACTCCCTGGTGCAAATAAAAAATTCCCCAGACAGCTCCTCTTCCTGCTGTGCATGCTTGCTGCAGCCATATTCATTCCTATAGATGCATTTATTGTGTCTTCATGGTGACCCCAGAGATCCTGTGATGTGCAGAGAATCTAATAGGAATATATTGGGCCATGGACACTAGGAAAGGTGGTAGCCAGAATAAGGCTGTGCCATGCAGAACCTCAAAGTGAAGATCTCTCAGGAGAGAGAAGATGGTAAGGAAGATGGGGTAACTACTTAGGTAAGTATTTCACCATGCCTACCTACTGCACTTGGGTGGGCTGGGGTAACTACTTAGGTAAGTGGCTGCCATACACAGTGATGTGGGGAACTTTTAAACTGGAGAGCTTCACTAAAAGTGAAGTTGTTCTTTAAGAAAAACACTGCAATTGTACACTGCTCAAAAAAATGAAAGGAACACTTTGAAAACACATCAGATCTCAATGGGGATAAATGTCAACCTGAATATCAATACTGATATGGACTGGGCAATGTGTTAGGAAGATACGGATGCCCTATCAATTGACCTACAGAGGACTGAATTCAGACACCCTGAAAATCAAAGTAAAAAATGATGCAGCAGGTGAGTCCATTTGCTGAAATTTCATTGCAGCACCTCAGAATGGTCCTCAGTAGTCTGTATGGCCCCCACGTGCTTGTATGCATGCCTGACAACGTCGGGGGAGGCTCCTAATGAGACAGTGGATGGTGTCCTGGGGGATTTCCTCCCAGATCTAGACCAGGGCATCACTGAGCTCCTGGACAGTCTGAGATGCAACCTGGCAGAGTCGGATGGACTGAAACATGACATCACAGAGATGTTCTATTGGATTTAGGTCAGGTGAGTGTGGGGGCCATTCAGTGGTATCAATTCCTTCATCCTCCAAGAACTGCCTGCATACTCTGGCCACATGAGGCCAGGCATTGTTGTGCACCAGGAGGAACCCAGGACCCACTGCACCAGTGTAGGGTCTGACAATGGGTCCAAGAATTTCATCCCAATACCTAATGGCAGTCAGTGTGCCATTGTCTAGCCTGTAGAGGTCTGTGCATCCCTCCATGGATATGCCTCCTCAGACCATCACTAACCCACCACCAAAATGGTCATGCTGAATGATGTTACCGACAGCAGAACGTTCTCCACGACTTCTCCAGACCCTTTCATATCTGTCACATGTGCTCAGGGTGAACCTGCTCTCATCTGTGAAAAAAAAAGGGCCCGCTAGAGGACATTGGGCCCTCAAGCCACCCTCATGAAGTCTGTTTCTGATTGTTTGGTCAGAGACATTCACTCCAGTGGCCTGCTGGAGGTCATTTTGTAGGGCTCTGGCAGTGCTCATCCTGTTCTTCCTTGCACAAAGGAACAGATACCGGTCCTTCTGATTGGGTTAAGGACCTTCTACAGCCTGTCCAGCTTTCCTAGAGTAACTAAGTAACTGCCTGTCTCCTGGAGTCTCCTCCATGCTCTTGAACCTTCCGGCAATGGCATGTATTGATGTGCCATCCTGGAGGAGTTGGACTGCCTGTGCAACTTCTGTAAGTTCCAGGTATGGCCTCATGCTACCAGTAGTGACACTGACCCTAGCCAAATGTAAAACTAGTGAAAAACAGTCAGAAAAGATGGGTAGGGAAACAATCTCAGTGGCCACCACCTGTAAAACCATTCCTGTTTTGTGGGTTGTCTCATTGTTGCCCATCTAGTGCACCCGTTGTTAATTTCACTAACATCAAAGCAGCTAATACTGATTCACAACTCCCTCTGCTACTTCATTGACTTGATGTTATACTCTGATTAAAAAGTGTTCCTTTAATTTTTCTGAGCTGTGTACATCCAAATGTATTTGAACAGAAAGTAAAATATACTGGTTTTTACCTTCAATGTTACAAGCCTTCCGTCAATCCTCTCTGGAGCTGCTGTGATCACAGAACATTTTCTCTAATGTCATGATACTGCTGCCATATAGATGATCAAATAAGTGTAAAGAAAAAAAAAACATAAAATGTCCTTGAAAGAAAAAAAGAAAACTTCCCCAGAGTTCTAGCAATTGTGTGGTTGATATCTTAAAGTGGAGCTTTAAAGAAAAAATAAATATATTCACCTTTGTTAAAGTTGGTTGATGTGACAATAAACCAGACTGCTGTAAAGAGGAGAGCACATGTAGACCCAAACGTCAGCCCTGCTTAAAGCCCAACTCCGGGGAGATTTCTCAACTACCCTTGTAGTGGATCTACCCCTGAACTGCAAGGGTTAACTGCTTTTTTTAAAAGTCACCTAAAATGACCTTATCCCCTGTTCCCACAGGCTTCCTGCTCTCCGTGCAACTAGCCCACCGAGGAGGCTTCTCTTTGGCGCTCTGTACATTGGTCATGCTTTGACATCATCACATGCAATGCAGATCCAAGTCTTGCATTGTAGGTGAGGACTGCAAGGGGCCACCCACCACCCGGAGGGTCGAGGAGGGGGAGCCATCTGCCAGGACGTGAGATAAAAGTTAAAATGCTTTTTAGTGGAGCTCTAGACAAAAACATGTAATTAAAGTATTACTAAACCCACAACAGTACAATTCGTCTGTATATGCAGTAAAGCATGCTTGTTATACTCACTGTGGAACCTAAGGGGTTAATCCTCTGCACTGTGTAAAAAAGGCTGTTTGATCCGGTCTTCTCTGATCTTTCGCTTCTTCTACTGTCCCCAATCCATCTGCAGATGCACAAAGCCTCGGGGGCAAGCTGCACATGCTCAGTTTGGTGTGTATTACTAGAGAGGTTTTTTTTTTCTAGGGAGTGTGCATGTGATCAGCACAGGGCCAATAAGCACTGTCCAGACAAAGGGTCAGGAGTCCTGCAGTCTCATAGGGGAGAATGAAAACTCCTCCTACAAGCTTTAACCAGTTCCCTGCTAGACACAAGACTGCTATATACTGCTGATGAGAAAAGGTATTTAGCAGTTTATATTTACTAAAATAATTGCATTTCCATGTTGTGTGTACTGTGGGAGACCAGATATAGTGAATACAGGGTCCGGGGAGAGCAGATATAGTGAATACAGGGTCCGGGGAGAGCAGATATAGTGAATGCAGGGTCCGTGGAGAGCGGATATAGTGAATGCAGGGTCCGTGGAGACCGGATATAGTGAATGCAGGGTCCTGGGAGACCGGATATAGTGAATGCAGGGTCCGTGGAGAGCGGATATAGTGAATGCAGGGTCCTGGGAGACCAGATATAGTGAATGTGGGGTCTGGAGAGACTGGATATAGTGAATGTGGGGTCTGGGGAGACTGGATATAGTGAATGCAGGGTCCGGGGAGACCGGATATAGTGAATGCAGGGTCCGGGGAGACCGGATATAGTGAATGCAGGGTCCTGGGAGACCGGATATAGTGAATGCAGGGTCCGTGGAGAGCGGATATAGTGAATGCAGGGTCCTGGGAGACCAGATATAGTGAATGCAGGGTCCTGGGGGACCAGATATAGTGAATACAGGGTCCGGGGAGAGCGGATATAGTGAATGCAGGGTCCAGGGAGACCAGATATAGTGAATGCAGGGTCCTGGGAGACCAGATATAGTGAATGCAGGGTCCTGGGAGACCAGATATAGTGAATGCAGGGTCCTGGGGGACCAGATATAGTGAATGCAGGGTCCGGGGAGATCTGATATAGTGAATGCGGGGTCCTGGGAAACCAGATATAGTGAATGCGGGGTCCGGGGAGACCGGATATAGTGAATGCGGGGTCCGTGGAGACCGGATATAGTGAATGCGGGGTCCGGGGAGACTGGATATAGTGAATGTGGGGTCTGGGGAGACCGGATATAGTGAATGTGGGGTCTGGAGTTTAGTAACAATTTAAAGAATTCCAAGTATTTTTAGATTTTAGAAAATGTACAAAATGTGGAAGAGTTACAACTAATGCTGGAGGCACAAAAAATAAGTAACAGGAAATCTCTTCAAAGTAAAAAGAAATTGGGCTCATTCGTATGTTCAGCCATACAGCCGCCCCTCTGAAAAGTGATTCACAATCACTTTTCAGAGGTCGTCTGACAGGTGGAGAGGAGGCGGTATGTTGCCTCTTCACCGCCTACCTTAGCCTTCAAAATGATGACCCACTACAGTGCAACTGCATCCATTAGTTGAGGCACGGCCGCCATTCACTTTAATAGGTTCAGTGGTGGTACCGTCTGCAGGATATTACATGCTGTTTAACCACTTCAAGACTGGACTTACACATAAAACACATAAAAATAAGTATTTTTTTGCTAGAAAATTACTTAAAATTCCCAAACATTATATATTTTTAAGCAGAGGCCCTAGAATACAAAATGGTGGGTGTTGCAATTTTTCATGTCACATGGTATTTGCGCAGCGTTTTTTTCAAACACAATTATTTTTGGAAAAAAATACACTGTAATGAATTTTAATGTACAAAAACACAAAAACACAATGTAATTCTCAATTCTCTGCTAAAATATAAAAGATGATGTTACACTGAATAAATACATACCAACATGCTTTAAAATTGCGCATGCCTGTGCAACAGCGACACACTACATACATGTTATTATCCATTGGCGATGCTTTAAAAGCCTCTACTGGTTACCACTTTAGATTTACACAGGAGATCTGGTGCTAGAATTATTGCTCTCCATCTTGCTTGAGGTGATTGTAGCCGTATTATTGCATTTGTGACAGAAACAATTTAGTACTGTCTGTGATACTTTTTTATTTGCACTAACATACAATTTTGAGGACAAGCTTTCGGGGTATGTCCCCTTCTTCAAGGTCCAAGCAGTACTGTTACAAAGTTTTAGGAGGATGAGAAAAAAAAAAAAGGAAGAAGAAACACAAGCCTAAGGTTTGTTGGGAATGCAACAGCATGTACTATAATGTACTATATTTAGTATTGTGTGTTAATATCACTTGACCAGTAGATGGCACTGTACACTAAAGGTTACTAGTTGTGTATATCTGAAAACTTGTTTGTTCCTCTCTCTATCATCTCTTCAGGATGTAACATGTCTGCTGAAATGTGCTCTGTATGTTTGTAACTTAAGCCACACAAGTAAAGTCTGAATTCTGCTATCACTACCAGTGGCTTCTATAACACATAACCAACAGGTTATGGGGCCCAGCTCCAGACACTGAAAAAAAGGAAAACTACAAGCAAGTAAGTGCTGCATTTACAATCCTACCAATTCACTGAAAGATGGCAAGTGCTTCAGATATGAGTTTACAATAGCAAAGCTCAACAACACCAACTACCAGCTGTGGAAGTTTAAGCTTGAAATGCTGTTATCCAAAGATGACTTGT